CTCTCTCTCTCTCTCTCTCTCTCTCTCTCTCTCTCTCTCTCTCTCTCTCTCTCTCTCTCTCTGTGGGGCGTGTTAGGTCTACTGGAGGTTCCTGCCTTTTGGCGAGAACACCATTGCTTTCTGAAATTCCACTCAAAGCCTGTGTCTGCCCCACCTGCTACGGAGCTTGGCTACTAACTTTTCAGAGACTATCGGGTCCCTCTAAGCCTCCCAGACATCTACCCGAGTTGCAGGAAAATCCCTACTGGGTACTAACCAATTGTACTTGTGTCCCTGTCAGTCCGGACTTTTTGAGAAGTCCGTCGGGTATCCAATTTCATCCCTGTCCCTGCGGTATCCCTATTTCTAAACTACCCCTTCGTGGGACACATAAAACATTCGACAAGCACACAGTTACTGCTCCACATGGCAATCACCACATAGGAACTTAGAGTCATGCAAGCAAACAGCACGGAACAAGCGAATCCCAGCAGATCAGACCATCGAGCAGCAATACTCAGAAAACATCTTAAATCTGAGACCGATTCGTTGTGCGTCATTGCAGTAACTTCCACTCATCCGCACTCTACCCAGCTGGCGAAGAGGTCGACACACTGCTTGCAGACACCCGCTGACACCCAAAGACCTAACTTGCCATCTGTGGTGGTGAGTGTCAGAGAACTTGCTCCTATATCAAAATGCAAAGACCAGCATGTGAGAACACAAAAAAGCTTGCCTATTTACTGGCGCTTTGTGCCTGGTTGTCGGTGGTGCAAGATGCAAGAGCTCGTAGTAGACCATTCATGACTAAGCCGAGTTGAAAGCAGAATGACAAAGCGGAGAGTACACAAATGGGTGTTCAGACTTAGCACTGAAATATCTTGAAAATAGAAGCCCACTTCTTGCCTCCAATCAATCAATACAACAACAGAGTGGTAGCCGAAGCTAAGGTGTGTCCACCTCAACTACTCTCCAACACAGTACACAGCCAACACACACTAGTCTACTACCTCCCTCTCTCCTCTCTCCAGATGCTGCTGAAGAGTTTTACCACATAGGCACTCCTTGGCCACACCAGATACGTACCTGCCAGTCCCCGCTGCCGCTCTCCATCCCTGACCAAACCCGACCCCTCACCATCACCTCCCGTGCACGGCACTGCAGGCACCCAGCTAGGGAAGTGCATGTGGGAGCAGCTACAGCTCCGATTCGCTTCCTTGCTTGGGCGCGGACTGCAATCACTCTCTCAATGCTGCCGCATGATACTGCCGCTGCCCAATGTGCTGTCTGCCTTGGCCTTTTCCCTTTTGTTCTTCATCTGGCCAAAGTCTGGACGTCCCATAGGCAGTCCGTACTGGCCTGGGTCCCGACCCGGGTGCCTGCCTGCCCTGTATCTGGATAGGGCCTATCAGGGCCTATCGGGTAGTTCCCTGAACCAGGCTTCGCAAAGGGCCCCCAGCTGTTTCTCAAGGCTCGACCTTCACTTAGGGCTGACCTGGACTTTCTTCTGTGGCATCGTCTTAGCTCTGCTGACGCCTGGGGCCTTGCACCCACGTCTGTTCCAATCTTTGTTTGACTTGGGATGACTTCATTTGGTTTGCTGTATGTGAAGCAGATGTCCATGTGAAGAGCAAGGTGGATGCAACAATGCCGAGGGGGGAGTCTTGGGCAGTGCATAAATTTGGTGGGACTTGTGTCGCCAATGCTGAGAGGATAGGTAATGCAGCAAAGATTATAGTGGACGACCCGTCAGCCCAGAAGGCAGTAGTCGTCTCTGCGATGTCAAAAGTGACGGACACTTTCTATGAAATCCTCAGGCTGGCAGAGAGCCGCGATGAAAGCTACCTACGTGTGATGGAATCACTCTACCAGAAGCACAAGGAGACGGCCTTCGCACTTCTCGGACCGAGCGATGCCTTGGAAAAGTTCATGAAGAAACTGGACGGGGACATCAGCAACCTCCAAGCAATGATGCGGGCAATCTTTATTGGTAAGCAAAGCAATTTATTCAAATTTCTATCTCGTGACTTTGTTATTTCCCGGTCTTTGAAGAGTGGCATCTCACCACGGTGTTATAAAGCACTAGTACCTTTGGCGCATGGGAAAATAGGGAAAAGTGGACGTTTTCCCAAACTCCTAAAGTTTTGGAGGCCGGGCCCAACGACGGCTGCCATTGATAAATCTGATGCGTTTCGGCCTCCGAAAAGGTCGGAGGCCCACAGGAGGCCCGCTATTTTCCCACGCGCCAAAGGTACTAGTGGTTTAAGAGCTGTGTCCTGTCGACACTGTCCTGTCTGAGAACGCTTATCAGAGTTCCCCTCCACTACGTACCGAGCTGTGGTGGCGGAATTTCCACAACAATAGCATTGTAACTTTCCGTTTCAGCAAGTTTTACCCATTCCTGCTCTGCTCAATTTTCAGTTGCTGCATTGAGATTGCCTTGTTAGCGAGTTATTGTCCATGCCCTTTTTGCCAGAATGGCCCACTAAGTTGTGGTCGTTTGCCGCACTTTTATTGTCCTTGGCTGCACTTGCGATCCTGATTGACTCACTGGTGTGCATGCATTGCTGGTGTCTTCTGAGTTCTATGGCTTGATCCAAACGTCAATTATCTGGGTCCACCGGAACAATCCTCTGCGGTCTACAGTTGACTATTCCCCCTTTTTTCCATTTTTTCTAAGTTGACAAGCTTTGAACTGTGGACTCTTAACTGATTGGTCCATTTGTTAGCTAACGCCAGGATAGAGATTCAATACAAGGACAAGTGTGACCTCCCATGGATCTCCTCTCCTTTTCGGCATATCTCTGATTGGTAATTGCAATACCTTCAAGTTTAGTTGGTGAAAGCACGTTGAACGGAGTGTTCATCACTGCCGGTGGTCAGGGCCATAACGACACATAGCAGTGGGTGTAATCAGGCTCCCTGAAATAGTCATCCTGATAGGTGGCTCTTCTTTTCTTGGTGACTAACCCCTGGTAAGTTGGCTCTTGTGCCAGACCTGTTGGAGGAGTTTGGTAATGTTGTTCCCTGCACAAAAGCTTGCAGGAGTCTGACAACAGTGATGATGATGCCTTCCGAAAGTCCCTGAGGATGTACGTACATGCAGATTGCTTGAGGGTGCAAGAGCACATTTCTGGAGCAAAATTCCTAAAGCATTAGTTTGCTCGCTCAGTTTGAGGGTGTTCTTTCATGCCATTTGAGCTCATCTTTGTAAGTAGGCCAGTGGTTAAGAAAGAAGCTTAACGAATACTCTTCACAATCTGTTAGCAGTATGTTGAATAGGTTTTTTCCTATAGTGCAGCCAGCTGGCAGCAAGGAATAATATCTGTTTCACAGGTACAAACACTTCCAGTACGAGTCATTTACAAACTACGACACTTCCAGTTTTGTTTTGCTGGATGTCTTTTTGCATTTATTTGTCCTTCCCAGTCTCCCGGTGAGAATACTGGCTTGCAGTGAAGCCAGCCGTGTGTTTATTATTTCTTCGTTCTCGTGGCCTTAGTGAAACACCTGTGTGTGACTTCAGTGGACATCCTCTGCATGTAATGTTGTCACACACGCCCCTATCTTTGGGATCTGCAGCTGGGTCCTCATTTGCTGTCTCGTGGGCTATCATCAGCAGGGTGTTTGCAGCATTGGATTGGGGTGTAAAAAGGTGGTTGGGTGAGATACTTTGCTAACGTCCTTTGATATCCTTGCTTATGGTCCGACTCCCGCTTGGATTCACAGCTGGACATGCAACAGATACCTTCTCTGACATTGTGGTGGGGCATGGGGAGCTATGGGCTGCACAACTTCTCGCTGCCAGCATTTGCAAGGTACAGGTGTCGCTTCTTCTTGGGTGCCCGTCTTATAGTTCTTGAGTTTTGTTTGGCCATCTCTCTCCCCTGACCCCTTAGCCACACTCATGTGGAGCTTCTCTCTCTCTCTCTCTCTCTCTCTCTCTCTCTCTCTCTCTCTCTCTCTCTCTCTCTCTCTCTCTCTTTTGTTGGCTCGCCCATAACCCACCTTTTTTCTGCTTGACTCAAGTTTACCGGTTCTATTCATCTTCTATTGTCTGCTGCTTCTCCTTGTCTCCTTTCCCATTGCTTTACCTTTTGTTATTTTCCTGTTGAGATCCTGTGAAGTCTTGCCCTGCCTCTGAAAGCATGGCCGAGGGTTTTGCGATTTGAAGCTAAAGGTGTCAGAAAAGTTACCAAAGGAGTGACTTTGCTCCCGCGTGCCCCTCCTCTCCCCTACCCGGCTGCTCTCCCTTTTCTTTTGTAAAATGCACTTTTCACCTCGAGAATAGTTGGGGTATCTCATAGAAAGTGAGTTTCATATTGTTGTTTATTCTCACAGAGAAGAACAGAGGAATCCTGCAAGGAATCATGAAGTTGTAAAATCCAGAACAGGAAATGAGGAGGGTAGTAATTGTAGGCTCTGAAGACTCTGAAATGCTACAGTACAGGGCAATTTTCCTAATCTTTAGATAATCTAGATTGCAGCTTCAGTTAGCCCAGTTGTTATAATTGTGAAAGGCAATGATGAGATCGGGAATTCAAATTTTGAAGTTTGCATCTGTTCAGAATTTTTGAATAAAACGTATGTTGTTGAGGGTGCAAGGAAAGTATGGACGAAGCACAGAAATCCAGAATGAAAAATCACACTGAAGTCCAAGTATTCAAAGCCAAAGCAGATAGCACATGGAACCGAGTAACCATCCCATTGAGAATGATACAGAAGAATCGTGAGTCAATGTCCATGCCCACCAGGGCAACACCAACAGCATAACCCAAATGTAGCTCTCTCTTCTGAATGGCGCCAGGCGCCCTATCTACTCTACAGCCTATCCTACAACTA